TCTTATTTACTTTACATACAACAATAGTTGAGTTATATATTATAGACTTATAGAAAGAGACCTTCTAAAAACGTTAAATGTATGACTGGCACGCGAAACCTTCGATTAGAGTGAATAAATGAAGACTCAGCACACCGCTTCTGAAAGGTTGCCGACCCCTGCTTTAAGCTATAGTGGCAAACCCTGTCTGCTATGAAGACAAGGTCTCAGTGTCCCTCTGTGGCACAAATTATTCTGTCTCTGTTCACCCTTAGGAGTCAAAATCAGAATGGAGGTGCTTGGGCTTGATTGCTGGTGGTAAGTAGTCTCTGTCTGCAGCTCAGTAAAGAGCAGCTGTACGGTAAGGGCTTTGTCTGCCTTTTGTTTGCACTGCTGCATCAGATTGTGTTGTGTTAACTTTCCCATGACAACTAGGTTCCACATGTTACTGAGCCATGAAGCTTGTGTGGGGAGGTTCAGCCATAGGCAGTTGGACAGCGATCGCCTGCCAGCAGCTCTGCGATAAGGGTGTCATGTGAACTGATGTGCTAAGTGGGGAAATCATCCACTGGGAAACCCAGCTATAGGACCAAGGCATTGCCTCTCCAGCAACTTGACAGCATGTCTTGGCTCAGAATTCTCATCCGGCTGGGCATGTCCACTGAACCTGATGACTTCAGAGTTGCTCTAGCACAGGGGCTCCAGGATTTGGCTTCTAGTCTTTGTGAGTGCAAAAACCTACATTTACACACACAGTCGGAGTAATTGCAAGCATGAGTGAACGATTCGGCTGGTGCGTACAAATGCTCTGCATGTAGAACTGTGGTTTTGAGGCTGCACCTTTTGCACCTGCCTTTGAACATTTAACCTAGAGCGTATAAAGTGAAAAAGGTAAAGGATCTAATTCTGAAGCTCTTGCCCACATAAGTAACCCTACTGAAGTCAGCAAGGATGTTGAGGGGAGTAAGGAGCACAGGATCAGGCCCCAAGACTTGGGTTTTCGGGAGCGGGTGGGTATGAAAGTGTCTTAGATTGTGATGTACTGGGAGGAAGAGATGCTGGAGTCATTTAGGCTGTAATGAAGAACCAAGCAGAAGTATCAACTGTATTGTGCCAGTTGCCGCTCACTAGATTTCATAATGCATGTTTTACAGCTGCATGTAAATATAACTAAACTGGATGGTGTTTGAAGAGCTGTACTGTTAAATCCTTAGGTGCCTCCCATGTGTGTGTGTCTCCTCTGTTGTATACTAGAGCGCCTGTTATGAATAACAACTAATGGTATATTGTGTTTACACAGCATCTTTCATCAGAAGAATCACCAAGCACTTTACATACCATATATAGTACGCAGCGTTTCTCAAATGCGGCCACCAGGGGGCTTTTCTTGCGGTCACAGCCTCCTGGCCTGTGATGGGGGGGGAGGGTAAAGTAGCTCTCCCTCCCCTTCCCTGTTGCTCCTGGGTGCACCGCCTTGGTGTTGATTACTAGGGTCACCAGCAGGGATTGAGCCCTGCCCCCCTCTGGAGTCATTTGGGGCAGAACGCTGTAGGAGCAGGCAATCAGAGAGTTCCCCACTTCCCCTGGGGCGAGGGGGTTCAGACTTTGAGCTTCAGCCCTGGGGTGGTGGGGTGGCAGGCTTCAGACACGGGGCTTCAGGCTCCAGCCCCGTGCTCTGGCTGCGTGGTGGCAGGCCCCAGGCTTCGGCCACACTGTTTCGGGATCCGTCCCTGGGTCCCGTCCTCCAGTTGCAAGGCTTTGGGCTCTGGCAGCAAGGCTTCAGGCTCCAGCCCTCGCTGCCTCCCCCAGCCCTCCACCCCCATCTCCCCTGACCCCCGCTGCCTCCTCTGACCCTCCCTCCAGGGCTGAGTAAGTCTGCTGTGAAAAGTGGTACTTGTATGTTTGTTAATATCACTTTTCACAACAGGCTTACTAGCTAGTGATAAATAAATTACAACGATTCAGACATGGGTATGTGCTAATTAAGTATTTTAGGAAAAAATGTGAGAGCGGCCACCAGCTGGTGGTGAGAGAATGAGCAATGACCCATCTTACTGGCACGGCCACTGTCTGGGGGTTTGCTCCCCTGAGCAGAAGGTGCTTGAGTCTCATTTAGATTCCCTGAGAACTCCGAGCCACAGAAGGAGTCTCCTCAGACTCATTCTGAGAGGGGTGGAGCTGGGCTTGGCATACCTTTGACCATGGAGCCTGGTAATCGCTGAGCTGAGCTCGTTGTCTGGTTTTCCCTTGGAGCCTCATACAACCCACATGGGGCCCAGTGAAGTTCTGTTGTTGCAAAAGCTGAATCCGTCCTTTTTTGGCTCAACATTCAAGCAAAAGATCCAGGGTGATGAGTCAGGTTGGCCCCGCGACTCCCTGTCACAGCCCACTGGTAGTGGAGAGGGCACGGCTGCTGCTCTGCAGGCCAGAGACAAAATAGTGAGACCCAACACAGAGCAGCTAGCAAGTATCGAGGAGTAGCTCTCCTGAGAGTGGGGCCAGGGTTGAACTGCTGGTAGACAAGGAGTGGAATTGCAACGGAGCTGCTGTGGCCAGCAGGAGACAGGCCACAGAGCTCAGGTTGGGAGCAGGAAGGCTGATTGGCAATCCTTGAGTAGCTTCTTGGCTAGGTTCATACCTGGAGCCCACCCATCCCCTGCCCTTCCCAATGATTTAAGGAGTATGATCGGTAACACGCAGAAGTGGCTTTCAGAGTACCCCTTGGCCTGGCCCTCTCTGAGTATCTCAGTCTCAGCAGGAGAGTGTCCCGTTGTGACATTATTGACAGAATCTGTAACCGTATAGATCATCGTTGCAACCACGGTCCCGTAGTGGCACCAAATCTTGTATAAAGGGGGTCAAATAAGGTGTCTAAGACAGGGTTATGGTTTGCGGGTTATGATTATGCTATCTGTGTGCATGTCAGCTCTGCCAGAACCGGCATCGTTACAGTGGACTAGTTTTGGCGGGACCCAACTGAGAGTGCCAATTCAGGACAAATTGCTTAAAGCCGGGCAGTCACAGCCCCAGGTTGGGGTTTTTCCACCTCTAAAGCAAACCAAACCAGCCAGACAGAGAGGACTTTGGTTTTGCCCCACTGGCTAACCACAAGTCACACAAGCAATGCCCTTAGACACTCCAGTTTCCCAGTATCACCACCAGTGTCACTCATTATGGGGACGAATGGTTATGAAAACCAATACCTCAGTAAAAGAAAAAAGGTTCTCCTGATCCCATAGGACCAAGCCCCAGACCCAGGTCAATATACAAATCCGATCTTACCCACAAATCATGCTGTTGCCAATCCTTTAGAATCTAAAATCGAAAGGTGTATTCATAAAAGGAAAAAGATAGAGATGAGAGCTAGAATTGGTTAAATGGAATCAGTGACATACAGTAATGGCAAAGTTCTTGGTTCAGGCTTGTAGCAGTGATGAAATAAACTGCAGGTTCAAATCAAGTCTCTGGAGTACATCCACAGCCCGGGATGGGTCATCTGTTCTTGGTGTACAGCTTCAGTTTGTAGCAAAGTCCCTCCAGAGGTATGAAGCAGGATTGAAGATAAGCTGCTGCAGCTCCTCCATCCTTTTATATTCTTTTGCCATGTGGTCTTTCTTCCTTTGTTTCAAAGACGAGCTGTCCATCACATGGCATGGAAAAGCCTCAGAGGTCTGACCATAGGCAGGGACATGCCTTGCTGATTCACAGGGTGTGTCTGCCTTCTCTCAATGGGTCAGTTGTATAGCGGATGGTCCTTAACGGGCCATCAAGCAGGCTAGGCAGAGCTGACACCAACTTGTCTGGGGTGTCACCCAGAAGCATAGCACAAGTTTGAACTACAGACAGAATAGAGCCAATACTTGTAACTTTAAATACAAAAATGATACATGCATACAGATAGCATAATTGTAACCGGCAAACCATAACCTTGTCTTAGACACCTTATTTGACCCCTTATATAAGATTTGGTGCCACTACAGGTCCTTGGTTGCAACAATGATCTATACGGTTACAGGTTCTGTCAATAACGTCACATCCGTGTTGGAGCAGCTCAAAGTATTTCAGAGGGCCAAAATTAGCAACATTTTAGGACACGCCCTTGTCAGGTCCTCAGGGCTGAGATATGAGTAACAGCCTCGCTGGAATTTCCCCTCCCTGGGCTGTGTTTTCCTAGCTGCCAGGTGAACAGATCCATTGTCACGCCTGTCTCCATGCTAATGCAGGGAGCTGGCAGCTCACCTGTCTAGGTTGCACAGGTGGGGCAGGCAGAGGTCAGAATTCATTTTAAGAGCTGATTATTTTTCTTACAGGACAGGAAGTGACATATTACTGGGATTGGGGGCCAATCCCATGTGTCTGGAGCAGGTAAAGCTTAGATTGTCAGAGAGCCAAGATATGTGCCCCCCCCCACACTCCAGCAGGTATTACTCTCAGCCACCTAACCATGCCATGCTCCCCATTGCAGCTGGCCTAGTCGCCCACAGCACTGCCTCTGTGGTACCTCTCTCCTCCACAGCTGTCATAACAGCCTGCTTGCATCTTTAGTAGCAGAAGCACTAGCGAGACACATGGGGTCATATTCTTGGCCCCAGCATGACTAGTCTGCATTGCTAAAGTGGCTTGCCTGGCTAGTGCTGGAATCCCCAAGTGGCGTACAGCCAGCAGAGCAGGGCTGGGCAGTGGCCAAAGAACGTTACGCCAGCTCTATGCCCCGAAGGGATCACCATACACTGGGGTAAACCTCTCTCAGCTGGTTCGAAGGCCAGATCCTGCTGGAAGTGTGACATGCAAGTCACTCCCAGTCATTTCTGCGTGAGCTGCAGCCAGCCACACCTTGTTCTCTTACCAGCATTGGTTATATGGCAGGGTGACCCCAACGCACCCCCAGTCCTAGATCCCCCCCCCCAGAAGTGTGTGTCCTGTACTGCCCAGCCCTCTCCTGGACAATACAAATTCATCTAAAGTAGGGTTACCATATTCAAACATTTAAAAAAGAGGACACTCCACGGGGCCCCGGTCCCGCGCCTGGCCCTGCCCCAACTCCGCCCCTTCCCTGCCCCCGACCCCGCCCCAACCCCACCCCTTCTCCG